GGTTGCTTTCGCTTTAACCATTATTTGAACAGGGTATAGGACATTAACTTTCCGTTTATGTGTAGTTAACTAATGTCAACTTTTTTTTAAAGAAATGTTTTGTTAAATAAAAAGTATAGTACACAGCTATATTTTGCTTGTTTTGATACATTATTTAAAATTTGTGGCTAAGAAATAATTATTTATTTGTTTTTAGTGTAGATAGAGATCAATTTGGTAAATCTTTGAGCTCTAAAAAGTCATGTGAAATAAAAACTAATTGCAATACAACACTATGAAACCATGACCCATGTGCTCATGCTCACTAAGCAAGCTCATACACAACATACACAAAAATTAAAATGAATTAGGTAAGATTAATTAAAATGAATTAATGAATTTCATTTCGAAATTTCAAAATCAAGTAATTTTAGCATGTCAAAGTCATATTTATGCACATAAAATATATTTTCCCAACAAAATTGTGGCTAGTGAAAATGGCCAGTGGCTAGTAATGTTGGAAAACTACTAGCCACACTGGCTGGTGTTTAAAAAAGTTAATGTCAATCCCTGCTACCATAGTATAAACCGTGCAACCCTAGTGGAAACGGCCATAAAAATGTACCGTACCATATTACTCATTGGAAACGGTCATTTTACAGGCCTATGCCTACTTACAATTGACTCACATGTGACTTTAAAATTGGTATATGATCAAAACTACTGTTAAACACCTATATTATGAATTATTTCCAAATGCTTTTTTTGTTTAAAATAATGTCACTTATTTGAAAATAAAATCTAATTTACTTATAAATGGCATCCAACTCACTTTTAATACATTAATAACCATAAACTTTTTTACATATTAAATCGTGTGAATGAACAAATTAGCCACTTTTCTGATGGTGTGTAAAAAAGTTATGCTTCCTTGTAAGATCAGGCTGATTTATGCACTGTAGATACCTTTGAATAATATTACACACTGTACAGTATACAGAAAAACGCCCAATATACAGTATATTTTTATTACCAAAACATTTGAAAGCATAAACAATTCAAAGTTTAAGGTAAACATGAGGCACTATAACATGTTTATTCTGTTCTCATATGTTGTTATAAGGTTTAAACACAGAATTCTGCTCTTGAGTTGACATTTTGCAGCAGGTTGTATAACAAAATCAAACACATCATACTGTATATACATGTTTTTTAATCTAGCTTTAGTATAACATTGGCACACATCTATAAACTCATCCAGCTGCGTTTCAAGTTATTAAGCTCCTTTCGCGTTTCTTGCATGCACTTAATTTGCAATGCCGCATTATTCTCCTGATGTTAGTCTGGAGCTGACAGGTGTTCGCGGGGACCTCGTTAGCACTATTAGCATGATGAAGTCTCGCCTCCACACGTAAAATAAACAGATTACAACACAGACAGGCAAGCAGCCCACTCTCAAGGCACGACGCGCACTCTCTCTTAGACTTCCCATCGCACAGTTTTGTCATTAAGGCAATTAGTGTCACGCTAACGACACCTCACTGAGCCACTTTCTCTAATCTGCCTCCACAACCTTTGACGAAATGACTCAAGCAGCGCGATATGCAAAAGCTCAAGCGTTTAACCCCGTTATCAGCTTTAAGTCTGAACAGATCTGTCTGCTGAAGTGATGAAATTTTACTTCCGCTTTTGCATTAATAATAAACAGTCTGGCCATCATCAGTGTGAACGGAGCTCACTGAATGTCAGAATGTGTCAGAATTGTATGATTTATTTATGGCATCCTCCAGTAAATCATCTCTGGAGGTGAATGTCTTAATCAAGCAAGCTGCATTAATATTTACTGTAGTCTTTGCTAATGAGCATGGGATGCAAACTTTAAAATCCCACATTTTAATGAAGCCCAGCAAAATAGGCCATGTAATGATGGCTGCAAGAGGTAGAACTCTCAGTTGTAATAATATTTATATTAGCCTCTTAACATGATACTGCTCAAACGCGGCCATCCAAAATAATTAATTAGTTTGAAGCCAATCAAATATCAGTTATTACTGAAAATATGCACCATTCAGGCTTTTTATTGTTGGGGTAATTGGTGTAATTGATGCTCTTGTACTGGAATAAGAAAGTCCTTAGTCTCTCATGGCCTGTTCGTCTTTTCTTGGGTGTATGCATAGGATTGTCTCCATTTTAATAAGTAAAGTTTATTTATAAACTAGTTTCGAGAGGATCACATGCTTATGATTGCTTGTGGCTTGTCCCGCATTATACAATTCATGATTCACCAATCAGACAATTCCTAAGCCACTATATATACCCCAAGTTCCATATAACAGCCATCTTCATTTTGAAGAATGCCACCTTCCACCTCTACTTCTCTTCCTTTCCTAAATGGGTTGCACAGTGGCCTAATGCTTAGCATTGTTGCCTTACAGCAAGAAGAAGAAGGTTGTAGTCCTTACCAACCCAGCCGGCGTTTCTGTGTGTTTAAATGTTCTCCCCATGCTTGCGTGGGTTTCCCCCGGGTTCCCTGCATTCCTCGTCCAAAAACATGCAACTTAAGTTAATTGACTTATCCAAGTCAGCACCATAGACATGTACCTAGTAAGTAGTTATATCTAAAGAGCAATCAGTATCTGTTCATTAGCTTCTACAGCAGGGTAGTTCCCAAGGTCTACCTGAGCTCAAACTCCCCTCCCAACTTGTAAACTGGAGGATGCCCCAGGCTTGAGGATCTTATGAGGTCAGGGCTCTCTCCTGGGACAGCATGCTTTATAATCAATCATCAGTCAAGTGTGAACTCTTGAAATAACTAGAAAAGTAAAGTTCGTAGACAAACTCTATAGTCGCTTGAGAATGCTGAGTCTGAAGGCTTGAATTAGTTCAAAAGTTTAAATAATCAAAGTAGTTTTAAGCAGTTTGAAACAGTTGGCATAGATAGATAACTACATTTGTTAGCATGTTTCTAGTATAGATTGGCATGTTTTTTGCTAGGCGGTTGATAGGAGGCTCTGAGTAAGGCGTTGCTATGGTGTTGCTAGGTGGTTGCTAAGGTGTTTTAGGTTGTTGCAAAGTGGTTGCTAGGTTGTTCTGATTGGTTGCAAAGCAGTTGCTTAAGTTTTCTGAGTGGTTGCTAAGGTGTTGCTAAGTGGTTGCTAGGGTGTTCTAAGGTGTTGCTAGATGGTTGCTAGGTGTTTTGAGTGGTTGATAAGGTGTTGCTTGGTGGCTGCTAAGGTGTTGCTAGGTGGTTGCTTGGGTGTTCTGATTGGTTGCTAAGCAGTTGTTAATGCATTGCAAGGTGGTTGCTAATGTGTTGCCAGGCGGTTGCTAAGGTGTTCTAGGTTGTTGCTATGTGGTTGCTAGGGTGTTCTGAGTGGTTGCTAGGTGGTTGCTATTATGTTCTGAGTGGTTTCCAAGGTGTTGCTAAGTGGTTTCTAAGTGGTTCTTAAACGCATTGCTAGGTGGTTACTAAGGTGTTGTTAGGCAGTTGCTAAGGTGTTCTAGGTAGTTGATAAGGTGTTACTAGGGTGTTACTAGAGTGTTGATAAAGTGTGTTAGTATTGTAAAGTCAATGGCAGGTTTTTATAATGGAAGTCTATGGGACAGTTGCTAGGGTGCTGTAAGTGGTTGCTAGGGTGTAATTAGTAAGTTGAAAGGTCATCAGTGATTGGGAGATTGGTAGTCTAAGTTAAATGAGCCCAACCATAATTCTGTATGACAGTCTGGTACAAAGTTATGAGGTCACAAAGTTGGGTTCAAGGTTAAGTCAATGGGACTTTTCCAAATTTTCCGGGACAAGTTTTGGAAAACCTTAAGTCGGATCAGTTGGAAAAGATATAGCAACTTAATTCAGTATAGTTTGGTGGTTGTAGTATTAACAGTCTAGGAAGAGATGCATTCTTAAAATAGTCCATATTACAGTAGATCTCACCTAAGCTATTGTCGTCTATTGGAAGAATTGCGTCAATAGAGCCGCCATTTTAGTACAGGGTAGCGCTCCTTTGAAATGAAGTGTGAGACCAAGGTGCAGTGCCAACCAGAACCAGAGATATATACATATATACACATATATCAATGATCGGGAGTTTTCATGATTATGTGTTATCTTCCATCTCTGTTAAATTTGATCTAATCCATGTCCTGAAACACAGCCCCTCTCCTGCTTTCACTTCTAATTTTAACGGAAGGAGCGATTTGTTTGTAAATGAATCTCCGTTATGAACGACTAGTTCACCTAGCCGACAATAGCACAAGTTTCTGGCACCGCAGCATCTTGTTGTCATATTTCATTTGTATTGTTTGCTGATTTTATTCAACAGAACTAGCATAAGCCTAGTATTCAGTGCAAGATGGTGCTACTTTGTATTATGGTCAATGCAGTAAGTGACTGTATTATCTTCAATTCTAGCGTAAAAAAACTAAATTTTACGTATTAAATGTTCTGCCTTTATACTTTTTTTTTCTTTGTTTGCTGGTTACTTCACCTGTACACAGCGCTAAAGTCCAGTATCTTTAGATTGGTTTTAGTTTTGATCAGTGCGGCTGAATGACTTTTGCACTGGGAGCACTATCGACGCATGCTCATGGTCCATATGCAATATCTAGCGTATATATCTATGAAAATAGTCTAAGAAGAAGAAGAAGACGGAAGAATAATACGTTTACATAGCATAACAGTATGTTGGCTTTCTCAAGCCACCATAATTAAGTTTTGTAATCCATTATTAAAATGTCTTTATGATCCAACTATCAGCTCTTTAATCTACATTAAATAAACTGAGATAGATGCAGGATATGAGAATAAAATATTGCCAGGCACCGTATGGCGGTCATATTTCTCAAATATCATGTTGATTGTTGCTATCAGCACTGCTCATCCATACTCCTTAATAACTTTAATACCCCAAGGGATTTTATATAGTGCTGTAATGAAAGTAATGGCATTTTCTTAATAAATACAGTTGGTGGCGTTACTTATGTTGCCTGAATATTTGACTCAACTGTCATCTTGTGTTTTCCAGGTTTTCTGAACATTCAGTCTTGGCCTGAAAACATGACTGATCTGAGTGTCTTCTCCAATCTGGCAACTATTGGAGGCAGAGCTCTCTACAGGTAATGCGCATTGCTTGGTATTTGCTGCCAGCTCTTGAACTAATACCCCTCCTGCATGTACTTCAACAGGTGTGTTGATGCTGTGAATTGAAACATAAACTAATTTCAACAGAAAACAGGGAGTTTGGGGCAAAAATGCCACCAACATGAACAAAACTGCTCCACAAATGCAAGATCATTTAAAAACTAAATCTAAACAACTATTCTGATACTAAATGACATTAAAATAATAATAATAATAATAATAATAATAATAATAATAATAATAATAATAATAAAGTTTCTTGTGTTACATCTGTGTAAATTGCATCAAGATTATTTTTATATCTATTTATATTCATCATTTATTCATAATCTTGCAGTTCTAACTTTTTAAAATGTATTTATTTTATAAATGAAATACTTTATGTGGTAGGATATTTTACATTAAACACTTATTTAATAAATCTGCATATGCCACCCTTGATAACATTAAACAGTGTGTTAATAACAGGTTATAATATTTTGATTAATTAAAATAACTGGATATTTGGGCATTTGACATAAAAGGCAACACAAATACAGTTGACAATTATTTAAAAATATACAAATCATTCTCATTCTTATATTCATCCGCTGATCCGGGGCCGGGTCGTGGGGGCAGCAGTCTTAAGAGAGAACTCTAGACTTTCCTCTTCCCAGACACTTCTTTCTGCTCCCCCAGGGGAATCCCGAAGACATATCCCCTATAGCATGTCCTGAGTCTTTCCCAAGTCTCAAGGCCTCCTACCGGGGGACATGCCTGAAACACCTCCCTAGGTAGGTGTCCAGGAGGTATCCGAAACAGATGCCCAAGCCATCTCAGCTGACTTTTCTCAATGTGCAGGAGCAGCGGCTCTACTCTGAGCTCATCACCCTATCTAAAAGGGTGCGCCCTGTCACCCTGTGAAGGAAACTAATTTTGGTCGCTTGTATCCGGGATCTTGTCCTTTCTGTCATGACCTTAAGCTCATGAGCCATAGGAAAGAGTGGGAATGTAGATTGACCGATAAATCAAGAGCTTTGCCTTTCGACTCAGCTCTTTTTTACCACAATAGACTGATATATCAATCGCATTACTGCTGCTGCTGCACCAATCCGCCTGTCAATCTCACATTCAATCCTTCCCTCACTCGTAAACAAAACCCCAAGATACTTGAACTCCTCAACCTGGGGTACGGACTTTCCTCCAACCTGGGGATGGCAAACCACCTTTTTCCGATGGAGCACCATGGCCTCAGACTTGGAGGTGCTGATTCTCATCCCAGCAGCATCACACTTGGCAGCAAACCGCCTGAGTGTATGCTAAAGGTACATGTTCGATGAAGCCAACAGAACAACTTTGTCTACGAATAACTTAAATAAGATGGAATCTTGTGGACCCAAAACAGATCATCTCCTGCCCAAGGCTGCACTTTAAAATTCCATCCATAAAAATTATGAACAGAATTGGTGACAAAGGGCAGCCCTGCCAGAGTCCAAAATGCACTGGAAACAAGTCTGACTTATTGCCGGTAATGCAAACCAAACTCCTACTCTGTTCATACAGGGAAGAGACACCTCTGACCCCATACTCCCAGAGCATCCTCCACAGAATGCCATGAGGGACACAGTCAAACGCCTTTTCCAAGTCCACAAAACATATGTGGACTGGTTGGGCATACTTCCATGAACCTCTGTGCACCTAGGTGAAGGTATAGAGCTGGTCCAGTCTACCACATCATGGACGAAAACTGAATTGGTCCTTCTGGATCCTAGATTCAACCATCGGCCGGATCCTTCACTCCAGTACCCTGGTATAGACCTTTTCAGGGAGGCTGAAGAGTGTGATCTCTATATAGTTAGGATGTCCTCCAACTATATGGAGATCACACTCTTCAGCCTCTCGAGGAAAGTCTGGAAAATCTGGTCTCCCTTCTTAAAAATGGCAACCACTATCCCAGTCCTGAGGTACTATATACATTTTTGTATATTTTTGTATAAAAATATACAAATAGAAATAAAATATAAACCAGTTCCTATGAAGGTAAACGTGTCCCCAAAAATCTGTTCTAGGAGACAAATATGGAAAATGTATGACCCTGCTTTAAATATCATGCATTCAAGCTATGAACAAAACAAAGAAGCAAACTAAGCCTAACAAAAGAGCTGTATTGTTAATAATAAACCCTTATGATTAGGGTTAAATTTAAAATTATGAAAACTATTATTTCATATTATATCAGTCCTTGCATTGGTTATATAAATGTGCCAATGACCTACTCTTGTCTGAAGGCTTTTTATAAGTATATGTGCAGCAATAAAAAATGCATAATACCATAATTAAAGGGAATATGAAAAAACACACTGGTCACTCTTTATTTTGATGGTCCGTTTATTAAATTACACTGCATCTACATGCCAACTAATTCTCATTAGATTGTAAGTAGACTGTTAGGTTGAGGTCAAGGTTATTGTAAGTTGACATGTACTCGCAAAGTTTATTACAGTCATTTAAATGTCTGTTAAAGAAGCAGTGTCAACAGATATTAACCAGACAGTCAGCTAATACTCAAATGGACAATCAAAATAAAGTGTTACCAATACACTTAATACATCACTAATGCCAAGCACATCAAAAATTAATGAATTGTATCACATAACTTGTGGAAATGAATCACTGTTGATAGACTTTGAATTACACCAAACTTAAAGAAAACTTCAATTAACATAAATGAAGCATGAATATGATATGCTGACCAAAAAATGTTCGTCAAATTAATATTTTATTTGAACTTCTTTAGAGATTTTGTATTTTTAAAACCTTTGCCAACTGATGTCTTTCCATGATTAAAACACTGCTTAAGTGATACCATAAGTTCACTTGAGTTTACGCTGTGCTTTAACTATCAATATAGTGGCATGCTCATGTTCATTTCTGCTCTGCTGCTGTTTGTACTGAAGTGCCTATACAAAAAAACTGTCAAGGCACATCAAGCAATAAAGTATGCATTTATTGTTTTGACTTGATAAAACTGACATGATTGAGGAGATGAGACTTATTGAAAGAAGCATAACAAATGTTTGTGATAATTGGATAGGAGGTGTGCAATATAATGACTTCATATTCTTTCATCAAATGAAACAGCAGAGACTAAAAGATCACTCTGGGCATTTAAGAATCAATACGGATTCATGAAAATGACACATAATCAAAGAAAATAGTTTTAAACTCTAAAAAAGTGTCAAAAAATACTGAACACACTGAACCAAAAGACAGATTTTGAACTTGTACATTCCACATACATGTACCCTTACAAACTCAGTGCTAAATCGTTGCAGACAGCATGTGCAAATAAACAGCTTAATTCATTCTTAGTGCATCCCTTCTTCCGTGTTCCCCAAAGAGGCCGAGGTTTTCTTGCCAAAGAGTTCAAAGGGTTCGACTGAAAAGCTCTATTCACACATTTCAACACCCATTTGCTTAGAGTTAAAGAGTCAGGAGAGACAGAAAGGGAGCGAGAGCACGGATCCACCAGCCTGTTTTGGCATTTGTGGGGCTCTAACACTGTACCAATTACCGTCTGTCACCTGATCTGTGTCTGATGTGTCTGACACTGGCTTTCTGCCCAAAACACAAGAGTAAAAACAGAAGAGAAGTGTGCGAGAGGCGGATCAGTGAGATGTCAGTGTGTAAGCGCACCTGCACGCTCTGACTCTCGGCTGACGGCCGACTCAAAGCCCCTTTGATGTGCTCTTCAACACGCCTGCCTGTGATTAAAAACACCGCTGTGATTATGCCTCGGCATTAACTGATCTCATCACATCTGAAGTGGGAGATCCTCGGCAGCGCTAGATGGGGGACGCAAGCTAAACACTCGATTTACAGAACAGCAGCATCTCTGATACTGGCGAGTCACAAGCTCATCTTTTTTGTTCAAGAAAGTATTTTTTTGCCATTTTTATGTCATCAGATTCTTATGTTTCGTTCTTATTGTGATTAAGTATGGATTGGTTTGTTGTTTTTGGCCTTTAAAAGGTATGACTCTTGTCTGTTTAATTCTGCTAGATTAAGAATTTAAGGTCTGTATATAAATACAGTTTATACTTGATAATTGTAGACTGACAGACAGACAGACAGAGAGATGGATGTGATACTGTGGATGGATGGATGGATGGATGGACGGACGGATGGATGGATGGATGGATGGATGGATGAATGCATGGATGGATGGATGGGTGGATGGATAAATAAATGGATGGATGCAAAGGTGGATGGATGGATGGATGGATAGGTGGATGGATGGATGGATGGATGGATGCATGCATATGTGGTTGGATGAATGGATGGATGCATAGATGGATGGATAATTGGATGATAATGTGGATAGATGGATGGATACTGTGGGTGGATTGATTGATGAATGGATACTGTGGATGGATGGATGGATGGATGGATGGATGGATGGATGTTACTGTGGATTCATGAATAGAAACTGTTGATGGGGGATGGATGGATAGATTCTGTGGACGGATGTATGGATAAATACTGTAGATGGATGGATGGATGGATGGATGGATAGATGGATGGATGGATACTGTGGATGGATACTGTGGATGGATGGATAGATACTGTGAATGGGTGGATGGATGGATTGATGGATGGATGGATGGATAGGTGGATAAATACTATAGATGGATGGATACTATGGATGGATGGATGGATAGATACTATGGATGGATGGTTGGATACTGTGGATGGATGGATGGATGGATGGATGGATAGATAGATAGATAGATAGATAGATAGATAGATAGATAGATAGATAGATAGATAGATAGATAGATAGATAGATAGATGATGGATGGATGGATGGATGGATGGATGGATGGATGGATGGATGGATGGATGGATGGATAGGTGGAGTGATACTGTGGATAGATAGATAGACAGACAGACAGACAGACAGACAGATGAATGGATGGATAGACAGATGGACAGACAGACATACAGAAAGACAATTAGACAGAAAGATGGACGGATGGACAGATAGACAGAGAGTTAGGTCAGTATTTAAATAAATCGTAATAAAGTGTAATAATTGTTTTCTCTTATCTACAGTGGCATCTCTCTTCTAGTGCTGAAGCAACAGTGGATTACCTCAATGCAGCTGCAGTCTCTCAGAGAGATCAGTGCTGGAAATGTGTATGTCACCAACAACAGTCAACTCTGCTACTATAACACTGTCAACTGGACACGACTCTTCCGCATCAACACCCAGAAGGCCCTGATCCGCAACAACCGTGACCCCAAGGAATGCAGTGAGTCCACATACATTCCAGCTTATTAAAGTCAGGAAATTATTCCAAATCTCTCATAATAAAAACACTCACAAAATCATAGAAATCAGTTCAGCCGTCAGACAGTCTGCATCATCTGACCTGTGAAGAAGTCTTGAGGCTGGACTGTTCTCAGACCCCCAGCTGCTGTTTGTCCTGGTTCACCTGAAAGATCACAATGCCTCATGCTGGGCTCGCTGACTTTGAGGCAGTAAAGTCGGTCACTTTGGAAGGTGCTGGTGCGGCTCCTTTATACCTGTCGTTCTGGCTGGGTCAGTGCGCCTCACTGAGCCTAGCAGGGGCCTCTGGCCCCCAGGTTTCCCCACAGATGGAGGGGGTCAAGAGGTGTCAGACGATCACAGTCTCACTTTGCTGTGAAATTTGAGTACTGTTGCAAACCCCCCTACTGTGTGCTTCCTTTATATCCTTCAAAATCACTCTGAAATCCAGAATACAGAGTTCTACGAGGACCTTTTTTTTCAGTATATGTGAAGAAGTGTGGAGCGATGTCACTGTAAATAAAAAAGCACCTGAAGAAAAAAGCCTTAGGCAGGGGTCCAGACTAATATTTGAGAATGCTAGTACCAGTGCCACTACTACCTAGTGCCACCAATTTCCAATTTGGTAGGGCTGCACAATTAATACAAATGACGTTATAAGTTTTGTCTCATACATTTGCAGTAACTTGAGTTCAGAGTTTCAGGAGAGAGTGTTCTTCTTCTGAATCTTCATTAACCAAAACAGTAACATCTGTAAAGTGCAATAGCTTCATAGTTATGCATCTATAGATCATGATTACAACAAGTAAAACACTACCACAGTAAATAGAAGTCTAGCTTTGTGGTTATGATACTTTATATTTACTGCAATAACAATATGATAACATTTGAAATTTATATCCCAGTTATAGCCGCACCTATACATGTGTCCTTTTTGTCTACAATTTCTCTGTTCTGACAAGCTGACATTATTATCAGATAAAGCATGCTCTGCATTCTGTCTTCACACCTTCAGGCACATCTCATTGTACTGTAAAGTTAAAGTTATTTTCAGAATTCAATGTCGCTCTATTTTTCCAGTAGCTGCATCTACTTCTATAAAATGCTAATTAGTATTCAAGCATGTCACAGAGAAGTTTGGTTAATATATTAGCTTAAGCAATCGAAATGTTTAATGAAAAGAAAAGAGACAAAAGTAATATAAAATGATTTCTTTTTTCACAGCAGTCTCTGTTCACACTTCTTGTAAGATTTGTTTGTTCCACTGATGTTTTCCATCAAGGATGGTTGTCAACATTTAAAAATGTTCAGACTTCCTCGTCCACCCAAACATACCTGTCACTTTCCACCATTTTTGTAATCACATGATTTGTTGACGCAAAATCACATGACTTTTTGGATGAACATACTGGAATATATTCAGTAAAAGCATTTCCATTGTAGTTTATGCACATTTTTGCTTCACTTTTTCAGCCTTATTCCAAAATGGATTACATTCATTTATTTCTCAAAATTCTACACACAATACCCCATAATGACAATGTGAAAAAATATTTCTTTTAATTGTTGCAAATTTATTTAAAAAATATATAAATAAATAAATCACATGTACATAAGTATAAGTATACTTTGTTGATGCACCTTTGGCAGCAATTAAAGCCTCAAGACTTTTGAATATAATGCCACAAGCTTGGCAAATCAGTATTTGGGAATTTTTGCCCATTCCTCTTTGCAGCACCTCTCAAGCTCTATCAGGTTGGATGGGAAGCGACGATGTACAGCCATTTTCAGATCTCTCCAGAGATGTTCAATAGGATTTAGGTCTGGACCATGCTTTACTGCAGAGATGGTATTAGCCTGTTAGTATTACTACAGTAACACGTATTAGCCTAACGTAACTCCTGGCATTCACTCCAAAGAGTTCAATTTTAGTCTCATCAGACCAGAGAATTTAGTTTTTTATGGTCTGAGAGTCCTTCAGATGCCTTTTCACAAATTCCAGGCGGGGAGTGGCTACCATACCGGCCTGATTGGTGGATTGCTGCTAAGAAGGGTCCTCTCTCCAAAGTAAAATGCTGGAGCTCAGACAGTGTGACCATCGGGTTATTGATCACCTCCCTGACTAAGGGCCTTCTCCCCGATCACTCAGCTTTCCCCGATCACTCAGCTTAGATGGCTGGCAGTCCTGGTGGTTCCAAACATCTTCCACTTATGCATGATGGAGGCCAATTTTTTTGTACTCTCCCCAGCCTTGTGCCTCGAGACAATCCTGTCTCGGAGGTCTACAGACAATTCCTTTGTCTTCAAGCATGGTTTGTGCTTTGACATGCACTGTCAACCCTGGGACCTTATATAGACAGGTCAAAGCCTTTTCAAATCATGTCCAATCAACTGAATTTCCCAAAGGTGAACAATTAAGCTGCTGAAACATCTCAAGAATGATCAGGGGATACAAAATGTACCTTAGCTCAAATCAGAGCTTGTGATTACTTATGTACATGTGATTTTTCAGGTTTATTTTTAATAAATTTGCAATTTAAAAAAAAAATTGTTTTACACAATGTCATTATGGGGTATTGTGTGTTGAATTTTGAGGAAATAAATGATTTTAATAAATTTTGGAATAAGGCTTTAACATAAAAAAGTTGGAAAAAGTGAAGCGTTATGAATACTTTCCCGATACACTGTACATTATCAAAGCTTATTCCGTCCAAAGTTTTTAAATGCAATACTCCAAAATGCTCATAAAAATAGGTGGATGGAAATACAGCAGTTGTTGTGCAATGTCTAAGCTGTTTTTCATATCCGTGTTGTAAAGAATGGCAGTTTGTCTTTAAGCTAGTTTAATTTGTGGTTTCTATCAGAAAGCTCTGTAACGAACTTGAGCCCTTTTCATTGAATTTCACAGTGTTCTTATAAACAGCTGGTCCAACAAAAACAAATTTGCTTCAGCTCAAGCAACCCTGATCAACCTTGCTGATTAATGGTCTCTGCTGGGTGTTGTTAAAACAAGTGCTGCTGTTTTGTTACGCTTTTGATGCATTTGGCAACATATGTAACAGAATGTCATCGCTTTGAGAGATCAATAGAGGCACCAATGTGACCTCTGACAAAATGTTGTCTCACTGGCTGGAACACTCTCTAGTTTGCAAAATGCAACCTTTTAGCTGCTCAAGTTTTTTGTGTCCTCCACCAATCTAATTAACCATTCTTCACAAATGCTAAGTCGCTCCATAAATGATCAGAGGGAATTAATTGCAGTGAGACCCTGCAACAATTTTTGACATTTCAGAGATTTTTTTTCTCTTGAAGAAGCTGTAATCACCACAGGGAGTTAACTTTCACCTTTATCTTTAAGAACTCTCATTTTTTTCTCGCTGCTGAGTGATGTTTATTACTATCTAAAAAGCCCCTTCTTTTCCAATGCGCAGGATGTTGTGATGCAACAGCAATCATTAATGTCTCGCAGCAACCGTAGCCTTTTGTAGGCCTCAGCAATCCCCCTGGCTCTTACCTATCTCCCAGGAAACCAAACCAGTGCTGCGTTTGACGTCAACACAACCCAAATTGTGTGTTTTCAACCAGGTTAAAACTTTGAAGTTGGCATCTTTTTGATCTATCTGCCACAAACGTACAGCTGAAAGGGCTTCCCACTTCTCTCTGACGCTCCTCGTGCTGTTGGATACCTGCGCCAGGCACTGAGTTTGTCCTTATACTAGAACATGTCGTTCCCTTAGACAGGCTGGAGCTTTTTGTGGGGCACTCTCTGGAGTGCTTTTACATGCTATTGCTCATTCATTCATTGCTTTCGCAAATAAATGTAACTACACCGAAAATAATCCCCCCAGAGTGTTCAGCAGTGCTTATGATCAAATTTGGGTTAGATAATCTGTAGTCCTTATTGTTGCATGCCAAATTGCTAAATTATAGTTTTTTATTTATTTATTTATTTATTTATTTATTTATTTATTTATTTATTTATTTATTTATTCATTTATTCATTTATTCATTTATTCATTTATTCATCTATTATTATTATTATTATTATTATTATTATTATTATTATTATTATTATTATTATTATATTTTTTAGTAGAATAAGAATTTGAGTGAAAAGATGTAAAGTCTTTGTGAACCGAATGTTGCTTGGACTTTGATTCCAGCATGTCTATGTCTTTCCAGCTGAAATGGAATATTAAGTAGGATGCGGGGCTGTCTTTTTTTGCATCATTTGCATCATCACCTAGCAAACTAACAGTAAAATGGGCATGGTTAAGAATATTTTGCATAAGTGGAATAATTGACTCCGGTCCATAATCCTTATTTAATATCAATCATTATTTGAACAGTTGCAGGCCTTCTGACTCCTCTATACACACTTAGATAATGAAGCTCTCATTAATAGTTTCAGAAGTTTGTCTGTTGAAGAGGACGTCTGTGAGACTTGCTGAAGTGTCAGCAGTATTTTAAAAGACTCTTCCAGCTGCTCCAGAATCCAGTGTCTTAGTGGGAGGGGAAACAGACCATTCGCTCCTCATTTCAAATTGAAATACAGCAGTTCATGTACAGGCAGCTTCTTACAAGCATAATACTTCCATGACTGCAAAAGTAGCACTTTTCACAGATGGCGGGTGCATTGTGTTCAGTTTATTTTTCTTTGAGAAAAGATTTTTTTTTTTCCCCTCTATCAACCGGACACTTCCCAGGGGTTGGACTGACAGCACCATTCTGAGACTAATGTATGTGAGGTTGAAATGCAGTGAATGCATGGAAATTAGTTTTTCATTTTGACACCTTGTACAGGTGGTATTTTCTTTTCTTTTTAAAAAATAGAGCAGTCAAACGTAAAATTAAATGGCTCAGAATGAATTATGAAATCTAATGATTTGTTTTTTTTGACTTTAATGAAATATTCAATATTATATTTTAATGCTGAATATATGGCAATGGCATCAATTTAACAATGTAAGAGTGTTGCAAATCAAAACATTTTAAAGTTAAGTATAAAAATAAAAGTATATAAACATAAATAAATAGAAATACATTCCCAGATGATGTTTAACAGAGCAAGGAAATGTTTACAATATGTCTGATAATATTTTTTCTTCTGGAGACAGTTTTGATTGTTTTATTAGACTAGAATAAGGTCAAAATTATCAGCCCTTTTAAGCCATATATTTTTTTGATAGTCTACAGAACAAACTCACCTTTTTCACAGGAATGAATAATATTACTTTATTCGAAAAATAACAAAATATTTTAAAGAGGTGGTCCACTATGATATCATATTTTAAACTTTAGTTGATGTGTAATGTAGCTGTGTGAACATAAACAGCATCTCTGCATGTGATATTCTTAAAGTTCAATGCAAAGGGAGACATTGGCTTTTTCAGTTATCTAAGCAAAGCCTACAGCCAATAAAGTTTAGGGACTACAAAAAAACTCATCCAGGTTAGTGAGATCACAAAACCTTCCGGTTATGTGCATACACCCCATGCAGGGGCGTGGCCAGAGGCACTGTAATGTTATAGTAGAGAAAGCTAAAGTGCCGTACAAACTCTGCTTCCACAGAGCTTCTTCAGTTTCTGTATTTGGGCTTCCAAAGGACATGACACAAAGAGAAGAGTGCTTACGATTTAATTTTAATTATGTTCCAGAAATGTATTTAAAAAAAATATATATATAGCTAGCATTTGACAAAGGGTAGCTTTCAGAATCTCACCCAGTACAGTGCTGGATTTGGCTAAAACCTCCTAAAAAAAAAAAGGAGCAGCTCCAACCATAATAGACAAAGTTGTGGATTGTGAGCCACATCATATAAGTATTTTTAATATTTAAAATTGATCTATTGGCACAGCCAACAATTAAGCTACACATTCATATTTATCCATCAAACTGCTGTAAACACCTACAATCTTCACCAACGCTGCAGCATCTTTCTATGTGGCTGCTTTCCGTCCGTTCTATATCTTAAATAACGAACCCGCAAAAGATATGCGAGCGTTTCAAATTACTTATACATGCTTACAACCCGAATATATATGAAAGACAACTTTATTTTAGAGAGAAGCCATGAAGTTCAGCTGTGTACGCTTCATTTTCTGTGTAATTTAGGCTCATACTGTCAAGGCTATACTGACTGACAGTATTTACACAGCAGATGCACAGCATGTGCTAGTAGAGGTGTGACTGGACATGATGCTTCCTGGTGACATGGGGCCGATCCGTGAGTCACAGCACATTATGTTAGCTGACCAGTCAGAGCCTCTTGAGGGTGAGGTTTCGAAGGAACTAGGAAAACTTATGTATAGCTTTCAGAGATACTAGGAAAAAAAATTGTCGTTTTCATGTTAGCTGAGTAGGAGATTATAATTAAAGTAAGATATATGAAAAAATAAGGTGGTATTCTACAAATAAAGCATGAGCACATACTGCTTTGCATCTTATAAACAACCAAACCTAAAAATACACTCTGGGCCACCTCTTTAAATTATTAAATAATTAAAAATAATATTTTACAGTGCAAATAATTTTATTTAATTATTTAAATTATTATTATTTTTTATTTAATTTAAAATAATAAAATTAATTAATAAATTAATAAAGTTTAACAGCTAGTGTACACTTTGCATTCTACCACATTAAAATACAATAAACTTTTGCCATGTCCAGTGATGACAGATGATGAGAAAGGTGACCATTAATTATCCTTCTTGTATTAATCCCAACCATATCCTTTGCAGTTTTGGACCGAATGGTATGTGACCCGTTGTGCTCTGACGCTGGATGCTGGGGTCCGGGGCCTGACCAGTGCCTGTCCTGCCGCTTCTTCATCAGGGGACGCACCTGTGTCGAATCTTGCAACCTGCACGAAGGGTGAGTTAAACGGCACACTCTCGCTTAACAACACAAGACTCTTGACTACACAAACTGACAAATCTCCAGTATCACAGGTGCACTCAAACTGTGTTGTAGGATTATTTGCATACAATAAGCATGTCATTGTTTATTAATGTGCACTTGTAGAAGATGTGTCTACTATAGCTAGCTTTCGTTCTCCAGGGATTCATGTCTTCATCCTCTAGATAAACAATAAGAAAGCAGCAGAGCCACACATCCTCTGGCTTTGGGGAATGGGTTGCAATGATGAAATGTAAGCTCGGTTGAGCTGGAAAACAAATAACAGTGTTTGTGTGAGCTAGATGAGCTGGGTGCATCTCCTTCCTCATGATTTCTACATCAAATACAGCGCCGTGTGGAGTATCATGGCAGAATGAAGAAACCTGTAAAGCCTTTGTTTTGTTTTCAGAAAGATTTAGGACAGATATACACACATATACACACTTATTGGTATTTTTGGGGACTTTTGACCCCTGTGGACTGTGGGCCCTGTGGTGTGGTTCAGTTCAGTGTAGTACAGCACAGAATTATTTCTACTGGCAGGTAGTGAGTTGTACCGAAACAGTGAACCATATGATTTCCATGAGATGAATTGGGAGTTTATATTTCATGAATGATAATTGCTAAAAATATGTAACAGGGTAATAAGCACAAAAAAAAAAAAAAACTGCATTATGTAAAGGAAATTGTAATGTGTGCCTGGAGAAAAAAAAAGTATTGAGCATGTCACCATTTTTCTCAGAAAACATATTTCTAAAAGTGCTGTTGACTTGACATTTTCACCAGATGTTGGTAACAATAAAAGAAATCAACTAGTTTACAAATTAAGTTATGTGTAATAAAACAAAATGACACAGGGAAAACTTATTGAACACATGAAGAAAGGGAGGTGTAGAAAGGCAGTAAAGCCCAGATAGCAGCTGAAATCTCTCAGAAGTTGCCCTTTGTCATTGCAAATTAATCAACATAGGCTCATTCTGAAAACATAGCCATATATACATTTCAGGAGACTGCGAGTTATGTAGCCAGAAGTACAAATGGCTGCATTTCTTTTTTTTTTTTTTTTTAATTAACTCTAGGGGGTGGTACCATTCCTTTTTATGCTTACCAGCTGTCCCATTAGCTTGCCATGTAGGTCTGCGGACTTAAGACGCAGGGAGAGTTGACCACGACGACGCGGTTCGAGTCCTATGAAGAACGGTTCCAGAAAGCAGAAGAGACAAAAACAAAATAATTTAAAAATTAAATAAAAAAAGTAAATGTGGTAAAATCTGATAATGTGGTAAAAATCAGACGAGGACTTTTCTATTTCTGGATTGCTTGTGAAAATTGTTGGTTGGGTTTAGGAAAGTAGGTGGGCGGGTCAATCAATAAAATTGGTTGGGTTTAGGGAAGGATGAGGGTGGGTCAGTCAATCAGTCAGTCAGTCATTCAGTCAGTCAAACAGTCAGTTGACAGCTGGCAGTGGTGGGTTTACATGAGAAAAGCAGGCGCGAATGGCACTTGAGAGAGAAATTTGAGATCGTAAAAAGCATACACAGCAGCCTCTCGTGGATTTGCGAAAACCAAAGCTGCAAAAAAGCTTACCTCCTGAGTTGTATTTGGCAGTCTCCAGAATTGTATATAGCAGTACATTTTCAGAATGAGCCTGGGTTGAAATTAATGTTAGCTACTTCCAGTGTTGGGCAGGAGCATCGCTACAAGTAGTGACGCTACTAGCTAAACTACATTTCTCAGTAATTTTGTGGTAGCGTCACTACTTTCTAAATCAAATAGCTTTTCAGTAGCAAGGCTATTATTTTAAGCAAGTAGCACAGTACCACACAAGCTACATTTACAGATTGTGGATCATTAAGTGAGGCCACCACCATTCACAGAGCTGTGAAGCCAGTGTCTGGCCGATGAAAGTAAACCCATGTGATAGAGAGAATGGCAAATTATTCTTCATCGTGTTTTACAGTGGTCAAAAACAAATTTTTTGGTGAGTTACTGCCTCTCACTTCGTTCTGTCATGTCACCAATCAATCATTGGGCTGATACCATGAGAAATTGCTTGGTGGAAAGGTGAAAAGCTTAGATCTAGCTATGTAGCTTTTAGCTTAGCTTGCTACATTTTCCAGGGGTAGATTTTAGTGTATTTAAGCTACATTTTGAGTAACTAATAGCTTAGCTCATTACATTTTGCAAGTAGCTTGCCCAACACTAGATGCTTCAGTCCAACATCGACATTACCAGGATGATGAAGAGGGGTGAACCCGGGTGGATATTTCAGCAAGACAATGATCCAAAACTCAGCCAAGAAAACTCTCTTATAGTTTCAGAGAAAGAAAATCAAGCTGTAGAATAGCCCAGTCAATCACATCTAAGCTGTCGCCACCGAAAAAAGTTTTAAAGTATTAAATACATTTCAGTAGGTCAGTACTTTCTTTTTGTGTCATCCCATTGCTATGGGATTGTTATGGGTATCTACAACATTTATTCATTTTTTTATTTAATATTTATTTATTTTTGTTTTATTTATTTTTATGTTTGTGTTGTTTTTTGTTTTTTTTTCCAAAATCTGGTTCAATTCAATATCCATATCAACCTTTAGAAGTAGCGTTGCCAGGAAAAAAAAAAAAAAACTTGATATCTTCAATACTTATTTACCCCACTGTATTTTTTCTAGTTGTCTATTTCTTTGCTCATCATTTTTTTCCTTTTAATGTGCAGGCAGTAGTAGGTAAACAATTTATCTATTTATTGTACGCATGTAGTTTTATAGTTTTTTGATCTTTATTTCATCATGAACAACCTATGGTAAAATGAATCTTTTTTTTTTGGGATGGCATTGTCGATTCCGAAGTTTTGGATTCTTGGGTGCTTAACTAGCAAGGTAAACTGGTAATGTGTCTTTACTAAAAAAGAAAAACCCTCTAGGACCTAACTCCTCACAAAAAGAGTTGACTTTAAGCATTAACCTCTTTCTGTTGGTTTTCACAGTTGTAATAAGTAAACAAAAAGGGGTGTTGATCAGTGCAGCGAAGAAGTAAAATCTAGATTGGTTTTGAATTCTCTCTTCATTTGCTGTGTGCTTGTGTTCTGCTCGAAGGGAAAGATGGATATCAGCTTTTGATTGATTTGAATGAGCTAAGCAGTGAAATGTATTTTCTCTTTTGCCCAGAGGTAAAATAAGACAATAAACAAACAGCATTCATTTCCACATTCTAAAAGAGTAGCATCTGTCATTTTAACACAGTAGCTCGGCCTCTGTGTGTTTAACTAGGACAATCATGGATGGACGCACTGTATTAGTTTATGTATGCGTCAAAGATGAAAGAGGATTTCATGCATCATAACAATCTGTGTGATAAAGACTCCCACAAATTACATTACCCCTCCCCTCCAACCTCCAATCCTGCCTCTTTTAAGTGCACTGGATTGTGTGGTTTAATTTTTTTGCTGACAAGAAGGAATAACTATACAAAAGACTTTCACTCAAATGTCAGTCAGTGTAATGATATTATAAATTTTAAAAATCTATCATTTTAAAAATCATTTGATGACTCTAAAGAGCTGGGGCTCTTGAGGATCCATGTCGAGTTTATTAAATGAATTATTTGTACAGGCAAGGTTGACACAGACAGACAGGAGCATCCAGGTGAGCCAGAGAATGGTCAGTATAACAGGTGGCAGGAGGCAAAACAATGTAAACAGTAAAACAAACAAGGGTCCAAAAACATGAAAGGCAAAACAAAACAAAACAAAATAACGCTAGGAAATGCTTACCTAAAGTTTCCAAGACTCAGGAATGATGTGTCTGTGTGCTGTGTTTATAGTTCATCTGATTAGTCCTGAACAGCTTTAGATGTGTGTGCCTGCAATCAAGGGGAATCTGGGCCAGGTGTGTGAGTGAAGTGCATTATGGGAACTGTATCATAGCACATCCCTCAAAATATCAAGTACTGCCATTTTAAATCCTTGTGATTTGCTACTAGAGTTTTTGTCAGTGTAAGTTTTTAAATATTTAAAATAAAAGAAATGTTCACCTATTCTTGTATATATTTGAATAAGCTTAGGTCATAATAAGTGGTAACACTTTATAATAACTACTCACTATGAACCATTTATTAAGCATTAGCAAATAGTGAATTCATTATCTGTCAAGCGTTAACTCTATATTAATAAACGTTAGTAAGCAGATTATAACTGCAGCTACAAATGCTCTATTATTGACTTACACCCACACTTATAATGTGCTTAATAATTGTACTTTGATACTTTGTTAATGATTTATTTTTCATTAATAAATTAAGTATTGCATTATTTACAAACAAGTTATTTAAGCATAGTTAGTAATTTTTCAAAAACATTCAGAATGAGTTAGTAAATGATTGATAAACTATTCAAATTAATATTTATAATTCTTATTTTTCAGTCATATACTAATAGTTAATGTGTGTGTTAATAATAATAATGCTTTATTAACTCAACTTCATCCAGTTTTGTGACCTAATCTAAAGTGAGGACTATTTATGCTTTATAAATCTATTATCAATGACAATTAAATGCTTAGTTAAATTCTAAACAGGAAAAATTACATAAACGACTTTATTTAATCCTATTCGTTTGAAGATACACAAATGAAACTGTTCTTCAAATGAAAAATGTATCTTTGCAACCTATCTTAAATAAAATTATTGTACAATTTAAACAATGCTTTTAATTATATAGTTAAATTATTATATTGATGTTGTTTTATCCAGTTTTATGTTGCATTTTGACACCTGTTATTTGGCAATATTTGAACTTTACAGTAATTTTATTTTTTAGATAATATTGCAAATGTTATTGCTCATTTGATACTAAGACTTTAATTGTCATTTATAAGGGATTTATAAAGCATGAATAGTCCTCATTTTAGATTAGGTCACAAAACTGCATGAAATTAAGTTAATAAAGCACTTATTAACATATATAGTAACCATTACTATATG